TTTCCTGCCAGCGAGTGCATTTATATAATATTGCTCTATTTTTTAGAGAAGACATTCGAGAAAACAGAATCCAGTAGAAAACAGAGAACTCGCCTTGTTTATGAGCAAATATATTAAATCATTTTGATTATGCTGTTAGATGTTCTAGAGCCCCACCCATCTGTGATAACGCGGAGGGCTGATAAGGCCGTCATATATTTACATATTATAACGTGGCCCGACTCTGACTCCCCTTCAGTTCAATTTTAGTATAGTTTGGCGCAAAACAAACCACTTAACATTATGTTTAGTCTGGCCGACTCGGCTGCAGCTGTCGTAAATATCTCTCCCTCCCAGTGGCTTCGCGGAAAACTGAGCCAAAATTGAACATAACATAAAACCATGTACCCATATCAGAGACATGGGTTCTGTTCTCCATATCTGCTCAAGGGTGTGCAGCCAGCAAAGTCAATGCACTCATTGCCTCATTCAAGTTCACATGCAAATTGGATAAATCCGAAATCGTTTAGATTTATGATACAAAACAGGCCGCACCGCATCAGCGATTGATTGATATTTCATTCTATCCCCAACACCTCTGACAGCCGACCCAACTTCCGCGAGGTTCATTGACACGACACGGAGTTTAGATTATCAGCTCAGCCGTCGTTAGTTTTCCATTCTTCTGGCATCTGCTCTGGCATCATCTGGGGGCACTGACGTGTCTTGTCGTTTCATGCTGAAAGAAAAAGGCAATATGTCGCAGTCGAACAATTCATTTCCTTCTCTTGCCTAATCGACAAATTTGCTTAAGATGACAGCAGCTTGTCCACCCACACCATCTTTCCTACCTATTCACCTGACTCTTGACTCTCGGCTGTTTTTAGCATTTAAATCCCATTTATTTTTTTGCTCTGAAGAAACACAACAAAAAACCATCAAAATCTGTGCCTCTGTGCCAACAACCAAACTTTGTTCTAATGACATTTGGTCGTATTCTCTTTTTCCCGTGAGTCAAAAATTGTTTTTTAATATTATTTAATTTTTATTTAATTATGCAGCTATTCAAATGGATGTGTTTTTATGGCTTCACACCACGGAAGCAAGTTGACATTTTGGGTATTGCTTTAGATTGCAAAGCCGAATGAAAAATGGAATGGAATTAGCGGCTTTTAAGAGCGGGTTTATATTTAGGACAATTATTAAATTATAATTCTAATTAATGGCAATTTTGAAAAAACCTGATTTGCTTATAATTTCAATTAGTCTGATTCGGTGTTGGCGTACAGCGCTGGTTTTTTATGAGATTCCATGTACTTTTTAAAATTATACATTTGAATTGTGTAGTCTCCCATTATGCCTAATTTATATAAATGGAAAACATCGAACAATTAGGTGTGTCTAAGAATACCAGAAGAATACTTTCCATACTAACCTCGCAAGCTGGCAAATCAATTGAATAAAGGACATCAAGAAGATCATCCAATTTCACAGTTAAGATAAAGCTTAACTTCCTATATCAATCAGCAGAGATTATTTTATTTGGGTTCCTGTGCTTCAAGTTCCTTTTCACCATTATCATGTAAAAAGCTAATGGCTGCTGCCCCAAGAACAAGTTCATATCTCGTTTAGTATCGTCTTAATTAATGTATGTATTAAATATATAACTAACTAACTATAATGACATGTATTGGAAAATGGTTGGGTTAGAGCGCTCACTCACTGCCCAAAGCTGAACAGTAAAATTCTTAAGTCTAATATCTTTCAAAGGACCCTTCAAAATGCTACAACTAGATCAAATTGAGATTCCTTGTGCGCTTGTTAAATGGTTTTATTTCCTAAAAGTTCTTATCTTTCAAGAGCGATTATAATAAAAATTCTCATAAAATGAATTATTAGAATAGCTATTAAGTTGATTTTTTCACACCGCTTTTTATGAATAAAACTGGAAATTCTATTTTCAGACCATAATTGGCATATAACAGAAGTCTTTCTGTATATCCCCCACTCTCTCTGTTTACTTCTGATATAAGAACGAAAATGTCAGAGGCCTCATTCCCTGGGATCCATGCTAAACGCACTATGGAGCAAGTCTCAAAGTGAATCATAAAATAAATAAATAAGTGCGACGCTCTCAGTGACCGATTTGTTGAGGGACAGATACGCATCCGCTAGATACTCGTCGCACTCATTCGCTGTGCACATATGCCGGCTTTGGGTGTCTCTGTGGGGTATCGCGGGTGCTGTCGGGTGTCGGGTGTTGGGGGTTTGACTTTGGCTTTGGCTTCGGTTTTGATTTTGTTTATGTGAGGGCCGCATTTTTTCTGGGGAAAGACCAAACAGACGGTTCTTTGTCACCGCATTGCTGCAAAAATTAGCAGGCAGGCAAAAGTTTAAATAAAAACATATGGAATATGGAATATCAGACTTGCTTATCACTCAGCAAACTCAATGTCCCATGCCTGGGCATGACATGAGTAGTGGACCTGTCCGGACTGGACTGGACTGGTCTGGACTGGAATGTGAGTCAGTTTGTTGAGGTAAGCCATGACTTCTTTGATATTAAACTGGTACCAGGTGCCAAGCGATTAGTCACGCCTCCCATTTGCCGGCAAACTGCAATCAGAGTTGTCAACGCCCATGCGCCCTGCCACTCTTGGCTTCATCTGGGTATTTGATCTCCCTCCCTCTCCCTCTTGGATGCTAAATGTTCGGGTGGTGCTTGCCTGACTTTTTTGAGTAGCAAACCCGTTGGTGCCAATCACCGACTCCCATATAGAGCAGACATCTCTCAACCGCTGTCCCCCTTTGGTTTATACAATATACATTTCGAATTCTGAATTCTGAAACGGAACACGCGTTCCGTTCGCCTCAATCAGACCAAATCAAATGTGTAATATTTTTTGCTGCTGCTGCTGCGAGTATTTCTTTTCGTTTTATGAATCAATTAATACGCTTATGGGCAGAAGCAGAAGCAGAGGCTGAAATGCTCAAAATGCTGAATGAAATGTTGAACTTGTGCGCCCCCCTTTGGCCTAGTCTGGTCTGTTCTGATTAAGTGCTTGTTCGTGTTCTAGAGCTTCTTGTCGGGGAAGTTGAGGACAGAAGAGGTTGGATCGATGAATTCACTCAAAAGAGTTCGGCAAATTGCTCCGGCTTCTCTGCCAATATGCTGAAAACTTTCTGTTGTTGAAATTAATTGGTTGGGAAAATGTTTCACTGCAGAATGGATCTGTTTCTCTCGATCTGCGCGTGGGATGGCGGCAAACAAGTTCCAAGCCAATTCCAATTGAAAGGCCCGCAATAAAAAGTCAGGAGATTAATTCTTTTAAGACACATAATCTTTTATTTGAATAGAGTTTTGTTGCTTTGTGTGTTGTTTGGTTTGGTTTTGTTTTGGATTGGTTTTTTCCATCGATTTTTCGATTAATAATTAATTTGCAGTTATAATATTTTTCTTTCTCTTTTTTTGTTTGCTGCAATTGGATTTTGTATTTGTTTCGGTTTCTTGTCAGATTAAAAGCTAATTTGTCACATTGAATTATTTTAGTTTTTTCTTTGCGTTTACAATTAATCGTAATGGTTTAGCGAATGACAGTTGAATAAATTTGAAAAAATATCACTACTATATATAGTAAATGTATACATATATGTATGCTTTGTGTGTGTGTGTATGTGTGTGTTCCTCTGCATCTGTATAGGTACACACATATATAATGTAGTATGTAAACTATTAATACATGTTTTAAGTTATTTCTCAATGCATTTCGAAATGACATTCTTACATTCTTGTTTTCCTCTCAGCTCAACATCACAATAATTGTTTTTGAAATACATTTTCTTTGTCCGAACACACATGCATAAATATTTATAGATATTCGGTATGCACACGCTCTATACATATATAAAATATAAACTTTAGAAATATAAATTCGAGGTTGGTTTTTGTGTTGTATCTTGTGTTTGTTTGTGTGGAAAGCGAGTCAGTTGGGCAGGCGGAAAATCAAAGCGGGCTAAAGCGAACTTAGGAAATAAAGCTTTCTGGCCTGGAGGCGGCGGCCAAGACAGAGAAGAGACAAATGCCAGGGCCATTAGAGAGCACTGCAGACCCAAGTATGTATAATACATGAGCCGAGGCCCGCCACCGATGATGGCTCTGCTCTGACTTCTGACCTACTCGCAAAGCCGCCATCCATCTCTCACTTGAAATTAAAACTAATGAGGTATTTAGCTGCACGCAATGCCTGAATTCTAAAGAAAGAAAATTGACTTTAATGGACCGACCGCCCGCTCTAAAATAAGTTACTGACTGACTGACTGTCTGGCTGTCTGGCTGTCTGTCTCTCTGGCTGGTTTTCTCTGGAACTGGAGCTGGAGGCGACCATTGCATTGACTGACGCGTTTTCAATATGAAAACAGCGGCCATTCAATGGTCGCCCCTCTAGGACACAGGACACAGGAACAGAGCCACAGGAAGAGGACAGTTTGAAAAGCACTGCTCGGCACTAGGTGCTCGGTTGTAAGACTACTACTCTTATGGCTCTAGAATACACATATGCTTTGCACATTGACTTAATTAACTTATAATTGAATGTTTAGCGTTTCTCTTAGCCAGAATGTTTTGGAGTTAAAGCTTTTCGTGTTGGTTTTGTCTAATAAATATTTACACAGATCTCTAATGATAATAATAATAGTTCTATAAAGTTAATAAATAATAAATTAGCTGGTGCTTTCTTGTGTGACTGGTTAAAACTGTGCTGTCTTTGCTATTTTTCGCGATTGGTTTTCGATTTGTGGTTTCTTTTTTTGTTTTGTTTGAGTTTGAGTAAAAACATTAAATGTTAATATGCTTTTGTTGCTTAGGTACATTGATTCCCATCCGATCCGATCCGATTCGATCGGATCCCGACTTGGCTTGGTTCCAGTTTACAGTTTGATATTTCTTATACGAATGTGCCATTGTATTTTAAATTTAATTTGACTTGTACACAGATGTTTCTATTTTTTTTGTTAATCGTTTTTTTAAAGGTACTTTTGTTCTTCGTATTTTTCTTATATTTTTGTGTGCTTATAAAACTGTTTGAACAGTTTGACAAGCACTCGCATTTATCGTCTTTCCTTGTTTCTTTTGTTTTTGTTTTTGTTTTCATTTTTTTTGGCATGAGAAGCTTCTAGAGACAGCATTATTTCGGCTTAAAAATTCAAAGTCAAACACTTGTTGTTGTCTTTGCTAATTGGTAACTTACAAATTACGAATACTGTTTTAGAATTCTTCAGCAAGCGAGTGTACTCCGCTCTCCGATCTCTTAGGCATCTTAGACCTCTGTGGGCATGCCACAGTTGGACTGCAGCTTCTTGGAGCCGCGGAAGAACATCTCGAACAGGCGGCCGCGGCCGCTAATTGCTAATTGGTAACTTACAAATTACGAATACTGTTTTAGAATTCTTCAGCAAGCGAGTGTACTCCGCTCTCCGATCTCTTAGGCATCTTAGACCTCTGTGGGCATGCCACAGTTGGACTGCAGCTTCTTGGAGCCGCGGAAGAACATCTCGAACAGGCGGCCGCGGCGCGCCTGGTACTTACGCGGCGTCGGCGGGCTGAGGGAGATGTGCTCCACAATGGTGATGCCCCGCTGCAGCTTGGGGCGCATGTTCCTCGTCTGCGACGGAGGTGGTGGTGGGGCCGGTGGTGCCAGTGGTGCCAGTGGCGGCGAGGGTAGGTCCTCGGACTCTGCCGATCCCCGTGTGGTCGTCCCAAAGTTGATGATGGTGCTACAGCTGCTGTTCGGACGCAAGGTCAGGGTAGTGTGCACCGCTGCGGGCTGGCACTGACTTACGAGGGAGCTCTGGGGCGTCAGATAGCGACAGCTGTTGCTACTGTACTGCGAGAGCTTGCTGCTGTTCCTCTGCAGCTGGGCGGCATTGGGTCCGGACACGATTCCGCCTGCCCCACCAGTGCCATTGGTCTTGATGCTGCTGCTGCAGTGGCGCTGAAGGGAGCTCGAGGACTCCAAACCAAAGAGCCGTTTGACTCCACGGCGCACCCGCTTGTTGCGATACGCGAAAATAAAGGGCGAACTGAGGTTGGCCAGCAGGATCATAAAGATGGCTAGCTGCGAGGAGCCCCCAAAGTTGGCCGCGGAGAGGCGCGCTTGCAGCAGCACCAGCAGCCCGAAGGGCAGGTAGGAGACCACGAACATGATCACCACCAGGATGCTGATGCGGGCGGCACGCGACTCCTCGCGGTATTTGAAGAGCGAGCTGGCATTACTCAAGCGATGACGCAGCGAGCTCATGTAGCTGAGGGCCTTGGGGGAGGCGTGGATGGCGGGTATTTGGAGGGCATGGCCCGAGGGTCCGCCCAAGCTTCCATGCAGCTGGTGCTGATGTTGCAGATGCTGGTGCCGAGGAGAGCTAAAGTGCGGGTGGTGCTGCTGCTGATGCTGGTGGCTTTGCTGCTGCTGCTGCTGATGATGCTGCTGGATCGTCTGCTGCTGCTGGAGCTGTGCGTGCCCCAGCAGGTGCGGCGATCCACACTCGTCGCTAAGCGAGTCCTGGCGCAGCTCCGTGTACTTGTGCAGATTGGGAGAGCTGTGCACCTGGCGGATGCCCTGCAGGCGGTTTGTCTCTCGCAGATCCTGCGAGGATGTGCCCAGGAGCGGCAGCTGGCGGGCCGAATAGTTCCGTTTGATCTCGCCGCTGGCCGTCTGGAGGGTCAGCAGGATGTTCTGGTTGCGATCGGCCAGCGTCTGCTCCGGCACCGGCATTAACTGGATGCCGACGTTGCTCTCCGCGTCCCCGTCTGAGCCTCCGTCATCGGAAATGGTGGGCAGGAGCACCTTGGCTGCCGAATCGCGTCGCAGGCAGCTGGGGGAGCTGCGCTGCTGGCGCTGATCGATCTGCATCTGAAGACCGCCTACGCTGGAACTGCCTCCTCCGCCACTGCAGCCGCCATGGGAGCTGGCCGAGGAGATGGAGTGCCTGTGCACGCAGAGGCTGTTGGCATACTGATTGGCCTGCGCCGCCTGGTGGGCTCCCGTCAGATTGAGGGCGCTCTGCAGCAGCGGCGAGGATCCGTTCTGCCGCATTCGGAGTCCGTTGCCTCGCGCCTCGCTGAAGATGCGCCAGTACATACCGCAAACGAAGCCGAAGGGCAGCAGAATTATCACGATGAAGTACACGCAGGCGTAGACCACCCCAAAGATGCTGTTCGTGCTGCTGATGTTGAAGAAGGTGGCTGCCAGGCGCCGCTGGCGACTGAGCAGCGTGTCCGCCTCAAAGTCGAGCACCCGGAGGGCAGATAGTGCTCCAAAGAGGATCCCCACGGCCCAGGTGAGGGCGATGAAGACCCATGTCTTTACGCCCGAAATGCGGCTGTGGTAGCGCAGGGGATCGGTGACCGCGCACCAGGTGTCTCCAACGACCAGAAGCACAGCGAGGGCGCCCAAGGCCGCCGTCATGTCGATTGACCAGCAGCGCATCTCTACGGGTGGCAACACGAACGCCGGAGTGGGCAATGGACTGGGGGTGCTGCCAAAGGCGCTCAGGTTGTCCTCATGGGTCTCCGTCTCCGTGATGACTATGCCGCCATCGCCCCGCTCGTCGATCGTTAGCTCTCGGCAGTAGGTAGCGTTGCACTTGAATATGGTCTCGATGGTGTCACCGTCGCTGATGTTTCGCCGCACGACGATGCCGTCTTGCTCCACGACCTGGCCATGGCGCCGGATGGTGACCTGATGATTGCCCGGCTTCGAGTAGAACTCGATGCTCTCCGCAGCGGGACCGGACTGGGGCTCGTTGAGGCTCCTGACTCCGCCCAGGAAGAGGGTGGGTGCGAGTATGCAGCAGCCGATCAGATTGATGGCCAGCAAATTGATGGTGAATCGATTGGCCGTGGTGCGCAGTCCGGGCGTGATCCAGAACGCGCACAGCGCCAAAAGGTTGATGAGGAACGAGACGAGCAGCAGGGCCAAAATGAGGAAATCTATTGCCATTCTTCTGGCTATTTCTGTTGGAGTTCCCCGGCTGATGGTTGCACGCACATCACTTTACAGTTCGACAGTCACCTCTGTCTGATTTTATTTTTTAATTTTTTACTGTTTTGTTTTGGTTTTTGTTTTGGCTTTGCGCTTATGTGTGTTTGGCTTTGCTTATGACACAAATTTCACTCGCTTTTAACGTTTTTGGTATGTATCTTTTTCACAATTTACAGCCAATTTCTGTTGTATTTTTCCCGAAAAAAACTGTGCGATTTTTTGGTTAAAAATGTTTGTTTCTTGTTTCTTGCCGAACGCTTGCTAATTTACACGCGAAGTTCGTCGTCGTTGGTACAAAATAATATATGAGGGTTTCTTTTCCCTCTGCCAATATGTGTTTTCAGTGATTTATTTCTCGCGGTGTAGGGCGCGCACCGATCGAGCACGATCTTCACTACGAAGCGTTCCAAGCACAACTGTCGTGTGGGGCTGCCGAAGCGCCCCCAAATATACGCGATGCGAGACTGGGAGACTGGGAGAGCGGTAGGCCCCCAAATCAAGTTATATTGAACGGCGAGGTATGGCGAGCGCTGTGAGAGCGGTGAGCGTTGTGAGAGAGAGCGAGAGCAAAAGCGTTGTGGCGGTTGTGGCTGGCTGCTAACTGTGATTTGCAATTCCCACGCTCCGACTTTGAATTGCTGTTTCTGCTGCAAGTTCCTCTGCCGCTGCCTGCCGCCTCCTGCTGCCTGTTTATTGCCTGTTGCCAGCCGGTCTTTATCACAGAGTCTCTGCCTCCGTCTGTGGCGGGTTGCTGCTACTATTGCTGCCGCTTCTGTCCTAGTTCACGGTGCCTGCCAGCAGCAATACAAATTGTATAATCTCTTTTTTCTTTGTTGCAATGGCAATTGCTTTGCTGCTTCACTTTTGCTCTGTATTACATCAGAGCATGCTACTGGAGCGACTATGGTTGTGTTCTCTCTGCAACATCCAGTAAAGTGCAGTGCAGTGCAGTGCAGTGCAGCAGCAGTGGCCACGCTCTATTTTCCTAACCATAAAAATCGCATTTTTATTGGGCCGACCGCTGTGCAAATAAACAACAGCAGCAACACTTATTGTTTCGCTTTCCTTCGCCTTTTTCCAGCTGATGAAATTCTCACTGCAAGAGAAATAGAGACAGAGAGAGATGGAGAGAGTGAGTGAGAGAGATACTTAAAGAGAGAGAGGGAGAGAGAGAGAGCGAGCGAGCGAGAGAGATATGTAAGCGATAAGGCTCTGATTGTGGGGACTATGCTGTTTATTATTTTTTCTGTTTTGATTGTGAAATTAAAAGCAAATACAAACTGGACCAAGATGAGACAGCAGAAAGAGAGGCTGGTTCCCAAACCGCTTTAACGAGTGTACCCTGTAGTCGCAGGCCACGCAGGGTATGTGCTGCTTATAGAGATAGCGATCTCCAACATTCAATAATATTATATTTGAATTAGTAATGAGCATCTAATAGTCTCAAGATGGATTACAAATAATTGTCTTCCCAGTTTTTCCACCCAACAATGAGTCAGAGGCGGAGTAACTTGGTTTGTAGTTAAATATGGCACGCGTCCGCTATGACTACATTCTCTTATCGAACGGATGATAAGGAAGAAATATTTCACAAGGGCAGGGAAAAAGCCAGAAGTCTCCAAGAGATGCACATTACATGAGGTTACCTTCTACCATTCACGCTCAGCGCACATGGAAGCTATACCCTTATACCTAACTAGTTGTTTACCAACTACTACGCATTATCCCCTCGGCCCTCGACCACCGATCAGCCGCTTACAACATGACTCCAATGAGCTCATCGCCACAAAGTATCTGACGCAGTAGCAGACACAAATACTCGAAGCTATTCAGCCAATTGCCTCCTCGAGATCTTCCAAAGCGCTCTATGGAACACACGAGCGTCCCATCTCCATGCCCGATCTTCGCCAGAATCAACCACCACATCATTGAACACGCGACCAGCGACTGTGAAAAATCAACAGAAATCGTTTTCCATCTCGGGCGTTCTTTTTTTTCGGTGTCAGGCCTGAGCGCCATTTGCATGCCCTACTTACGCTTCTGGGAGATATGCACATCTATATTTTTATAAATAGCCGGCGTGTCCACAAATGAGTCGTGAAAATGACAGAAGACGCCAATGAAAGATGGCCAATAAAGATGGCGCAATTAATTGCTGATTTTCTTCAGAATCAAGTCAGGGCTGAATTATTACGATTATCTGAATATGATTTACGATAATTATGGAATAAAATGAATAATTTTTCATCAGGGTTAAATATTTAACACATAGGAAATAATTGATTATAAATCAGAAACAATTTTTTCATGGGGCATTTTAGACTTAAAATTATTTCAAAAAGATCTGAACCCAATCTGATACCCTTCCCACAGCTGAAAAGTTCAAAACGAAACCTCCTCCCACAAATTAGAGTGTTATCAGGCAACTCAGAGCTCGATCAATGTCCGTCAGCCATCGATCATATGTAAAAACCAACTCCCCTAAAAACCCATCAACCATACATATATCAACCCATCTATCCATCCATCCATCCATCTATCGCGTGTGATGTTGTGTCAATAAGGTGCCTGCCTAACTAATTCGTATTTGCTTTAGGTTCAGTGAAAGATCTCTCCGTAGATACCTATTATCTACGGCACTTTAAAGTGTGAGAGCGATCTTTTAGCGGCATTTTAGGGGTGTGAATTGTTTCACACTCGTTTCAACGCCTCCGCATCCAAGGAGGGAAAATAGAGGGAATCGAGGTGATTTTCTTACCCTTATCAGAGAGATTTGAAGGCACTGCATTGAAATATTTCGATTATTTATTGATAGTTGAACACAAAAGGCAATATGCACTTGATTAAATATGAGTGCAAATGTTGATAATACAAAATACACATTGATTGTCGAGGCATACAAAGGGAAACGCAGTTTGAATTTACTTTGTTCTCAAATTAGAGCTTCCGCTCGCGTGCAGAATCTGAAAATTCTTAGAATTTCATATATCTATATATATATATATTCAGAGACGGGAGATCAAAGTCGATTTGCCGATTTCTTTATATAGTACCCTTGCAGCGGGTATTCTAATTATTGGGGTGAATGTTGCAAGTAATTGAGGAAAGAATTTCCAAATATATGTATAAAGCGGAATGGTCTGAAGTGGATAGTGCCAGGGCCCTGCTGAAATCAGCAATTCTCTTATTTCGATTCCTCAGAAAATTATATTTATTTTTTTGGAATAAGCAATTCAAAACATAATTTTATTTGTTGATAGCTAAAGTTTAAACGCCTGGGACTTCATTATGATCAGGCCTAGATCTAGAATAAAACAAAATATCTCTTCTTACACAAATTCCTTTGGTTTTCATCTCCGAAATATGCTAGGCTTTTTCTTTTTAGTGGCGTTTCTATATGGGTATCATATGGCCAAGATTTCCCAGAATGTAAGGGTATCGGTCTGGCTGAGCCACTCGCCCTTTGTTGTATAAATATGTATGCAGTTTTTTATTACTCGCGACAATTGCATCGAGATTTGGCGGAACAAGTGTTTGCGGCTCCGTCTGGAGGTGGGTGGATGGATACATACCGGGGTGCTATCTATTTGTCTGCCTGTACGTTGTCTAGGGCGTAGCCTCAGTAGCTGGGTCCCCGCCCTCGCCCTACAGACTGTTGGACTGTTGGCACTGTGTCTGGCGAGCGGCGGGCAAATAATTTGCTCATTTGCATGAGTTGGCATGAAACAGTCACAGCACAACAGTCGCTGGCATTAAGATAAATTTTGCAGCCTGAGTAAACGAAATGTTAGAGCTTCTTGCCCCAGGCCACTCCCAGGGTGAAGCGCAAAAAATACCCGAGAACAAAGTGGCGACAAAATTTATATGTTAATGTCAGGTTAAAGCCAACTAAAGAGGCTGGTCTTCGGCCAAACAGGGGGACTCACCAGGCACGTGATCTGGACTGATCATTCGATCAATGTGAACAACATGAATAACAGCAGCAGCAAAAACCACAACAGCGATACAGATAAATAAAAGCTATATCGGCGTGATTCCCTGGCTTGGGTTGGACAAAGAAGAAGTGAAGCAGCCAGCTCTACGAGTAAGCCCCAGCCGGTTTTGCTTCTCTCTCAGTCTCTCGCTTTTCTCTGTCTCTGGTTTTGAGCAATGTGACGTCACTTTTGACGTTCGTTTTTGTATGCATTTCGAGCTTGAATCTGAAAATATTTAAATACAGTTTTTGCACTCACTTATGGACTGCACCCTGGGTATCCCCTGACTCCGTCCCCAGACCTCACATTCACATCAGTTTATCAGCCAATATTAAAGCACTTTAGACCCGTAAGACCGTAAATAAAATTCATATAAATGATATTTAGCCCATATTTGTTGCTGGGCCTCCCACTCCAAAATGGGTGTAAATTTCTTTTTGTTGCACTTGTCCACAAATACTCGTGGTATGTATATGTATGCACATATGGTTATGGCGTGTGCATTCCCCCCAAGTCCATACATGGCGATAGGGACAGGCCCTGACTGAAGCAAAGTCATTAATTTACAACGCCGCGTGCAGTCCAGTCCAAGACAGGGACGTGTACTTTGGTCATCATGATGTCACATGTCCTTGAGCTGGTTAAATGCTCATCAATCCCAGGGTAATAATGATGGGCCTCATCGAATCAGTTGATTGCATTGTCCGATTGGGCGAAAGCTAGGGTGATTAAAGACGAGTTGAAGACCTGATAAGAGACCTGAGTAGTATGGTAATGCGTATTGAAATTACTGCCCATATAGTACTTCTAGGCCTAAACACTTTTATTGTATAACTCTGCCCCCTAAACGCTTCTTGAGTCATGGCTGTACCTCCACTTCCGTTTCTAAATCTTACACAACCCGTTCAACGATCAACGATCAATAGATATTCCATTAGCTTTTTCCACACCTATATATATAATTTCTTGCTTGAGCTGATTTCCTCAACAATAGGCCCAGCGGGAGGCGCTAATTAATTTGGCACTTGGTCAGAGTCACTCGGTTCCTCCATCTTAAATAATTAGACACTTTTATACTGTTCCTTGGCCTAGGTATTTTCTGCTAATTGACAGCCCTACGTTACATGTTGGCCACACCCCAGTTTGGGGGATGACTCGTAGCGACAGGTTCGACAAACGTGTGTCATTTCCTCTAATACCCATATTTATTGAATAATAATGGAATATTGACAGTTTCCTTTACATGATAAGATTACGAAGAGTACTGATACTCGTACTCGTATTTCAGAGAGAGACAATCAGAGAGTAAGCCCAGATTGGCCACTCACCCGCAAATCCCATTCAATTAGCCCTGACCCTTCGGGCTTAGACTTTCACTCACTGTGATAGATTTTTATATGGGAATATATGTATATATAAACATTATTTTTTCTTTTATCCGCTTATAATTGAATCAAATGCGGTATCGCCAATGCCATTGGCATTGCCAAACGCAAAGGCAAAGGCAACGGAAAAGGCGAAAGCAGAAAGGCAAATATTGGCGCAAGTTTTTATCTGAGGGATGTAAGTTTGTTGTCAGCTCCAGATGGCACTCCCACTCCTCCTTGGCCATCCACCCTGACATGGGGTTACACTCTCTGCTATCAATACCAGTGTATCTATAAGTATGATAAAGTTTTCTGCCACAAACACAGATTCATGAAAATTCCATGAAAAAACGAATTGCAGTTGGGAACTTTTCCTAGACACAATATTTATACCGCTCATAAACATATA